ATAAGAGACAGGGCCTGAAGGATCCCCCAGCCCTTGGGCCTGCCTTTCCCACGTCCTGCTCACCTCCTCGTTCTGCGAAGACAAGATTTTTTTTCATTTTTTTCTAAGCCTTACTTCCCACCTACTCAGGAGACGGCAGACAGGGTAAAATACAGCAAAGTCTTAAGGACTTGTGTTTAGCATAAAGATAAATTCTGTGTATTGCCAGAGCTGTGCTGGGGAGAAGTTACCTGCTGTGGAGACATGTTACGCCATAGAATAAGCTTCAAAAAAAAAAAAAAGACAGATCTTCCATTTGGGGCCTTTAAAAATGGAGGAGGAGAAAAAAAAAGAAAAAAAGAAAAAAAACCAATCTGTGGGAAGTCCCGGCTTGCTGGGAGTGGGTGGTTTACTGCTAGCAACAGTTTATTGTCTAATTTTTGTAATTAATTTGGTGCCCTCCAAATAGGGAATATTGCAGCACATGTGTCCCACCCTGTGCTGTGTTGACTTATGGTATAAATTGAGCTGTTACACAGCACACCTCAAGTGTAAAGCCAGAGAAGGGGTTTATGACCTGCTGAGTCTGATCTCCCATAAGAGGGTAAAGGACTTCAGAAAACTCAGTTTTGGTATCGGTTTTGCGGGTGAGAGATTTGTGTTTCTTTTAAACGTTGTGCCTTCCCCCCTCCCATGTCCAAGGCTCCCCAGGGCATGTTCCAAGACGAGCTGGAGTGGTGCATTTCACAGCTGGAGACAAATCTTTGCTTCAACACAACCCCGAAACAAGGTATGTTGTCTCTTTCACAGTCTGAAACCATATTCCTACCTCAGTTCTGATTTAGCAGACCTGGACCTGTTTCTTACCTCCCATCAGTTTTCTATTCTTGTGTTATATGGGATTTGTTCTAAATGCAAGACAACATAAAGCATTGAACTTTTAAGAACTGTCTGGAAGCACTTTATCTTTCATGCCTGTGATGTTCGTTCTCCCTGTTCTCTGTATTCTTTCTCATGTTCTCATTCTCCTATCTAACAGCTTGTTGTTTGGTTCTGCTACAGCTATGCTTTTGTTTTCCAGTCTTCAGGAAATACCGTGTCAGTGCATCTGGCCCTTAAACACCACTAGGTTTATCTTTGTGAGGCTTGTTCTTCATTGTTCTTGTTCCAAGGAGAAATTACATGAAAGATAAAATCCTATAAAATAATTTTCAGAAGATCAGATTTTGATCTAGTCAGTCCAACTTGTAAATAAATGAAGTCACATGTCCTGCTCCTACTGATAGATGGTATTCAGAGGAGGGATGTGGCTACCCTTTGTAAAATGCCTGGATGAGTGTTTGCTGGTGCACCTGAGGATGTAACAGTGATTAATACGTGCCCACACACCATGCTTGAGAATCAGACCGTTTTGTTATTCCCCGTTAGCTTGTGCTTGGTGCCTAGTGTCCAGCAGCAGCAGGGGAATGCTGCTCCTGGAGGGGAGGAAGGAGCTGAGCGCAGTGACAAGGCCAGCAGATGCAATGACTCGGCCAGAAAAGGGCCTGTTTGCACAGTACCTGTCCCACGAGAGCAAAGCAGTACTGATGATGGCAACCAGGCTCTTCCTGGAATCCAGATCACCAGAGGGGTCTGCAGTGATGAGCCAGATCCAGGCTCTAACCAGGAATTCAAACTCTGAGTCAATGAGGTACTGGCTGCAGAAGTGCTATGCACGAGATCCTCAGCTTAACATAACTCCCATGTGAGTTAGGGGTCCCCCTGAAGCTTTTTCTAGCTCTTTCTTTGTAACAGCTCTTACTAGCAAGCAGACAAATGCAGCCAGTTAACTCCTTGAAGAAATGGGGAGATGTGGGCTCAGGACCCCGACACTCAGGTGCTATGAAGATACATCCCACTTTTGCAGGTGGCTACAGCCCCAGGGCAGGATTTCAGCCTCACTCACACACTGTTCCTAGCATGGAACGCTCAGTGTTGGATCTGCAAGATACACCTCATTTGGAAGGTCCCAGAGAGTTGCACTGCAGCCAAGAGAGATGTGTTTGTGTCCAATCCAAAATACTAGTCTAGTACATCAAGCTTTTTTGTGTCTTGAAACGTGTGAGACAAACACTAGAAGACTGTGCATATTGGGAGAGAATTTGCTTAGACACAAAGAACTAGTATTAATGTTGTGGTCAGGCCTCTTTGTATGAGAGTCAAGCAAGAGTCCTGCTTTTCAGGGTGTGCTTACAACTCAGATTTTTTTTTCAGTTTTCCAGAGAAGAGATACTGAGCTAGGCTCTTGGATTTGGATTTGTCAGATGCTTTGGGGGAAGGATTTTTTAAGCCCTGTGTAGCTTCTGTGCCCTTAGTAATGCACTTACCGCAGTGTAAGATTCCTAACATAAATAATAAGCACTTAAGATCTGTTGGTTTTTTTTTTTCCTTTAAGAACATTTCATGCTATTTCATCTTCTAGAAGGACTTGGAGTTTCCTTTCAGCTGAATGCCAGTCATGGATTAGTTAGAGATGGTATGAACATAGAACATGTTCAGAGGATACCCAGTCATCAGCATCCCACAGCATGGTTTGTAAGGCCCACCATAACCTGTTTCTTGTCTCTCTTGGTCTTTTTCTTGAGAGCAGCAGAGGAGACACAGCACATTCTCAAGGTCCTGCGCTCCCATGAGTTTCCTTTTGTGAAGAAGCAACAAATGATGAGCCGTGTGTTTGGGGATTATCATCTCAAGATGGCTGAGGATCAGAAGAGCATAGAGAAAGCAGGTGGGCTTGAGGGAATGGTGGTATTTTGTTCTTTCTGTAGATTTCTTATCATGCAGCTTTTGATTAGGTTGTTTCTCTGTGGAGGTGCCTTACAGAGGGAGTTGCAGTAGCAGTGGCATCCCCATAGTAGGAAACTGGCATATTGATAGAAACATTATTCTTTATCTTTTCTAGTCATGAAACCTGGTGATGTAGAAGGGCAGCAAAGCAATGGGCAGGCTTCAGATAGTGTGGTAGATGGGAAACAATCTGACCAAATCTCTGAGGCAAAGCCAGAGTTGTTCATGTCATCTGACAACACCTTCCGATTTGATTTTGCACTTTCTGAGATTGACCCAGAAGCAACTGGCACAGCTTTGGAAGCAGTCTCTGGTGTCAGCGGTGCTAAGCAGATACAAACCAATGTAAAAGCCACTGAGCAGAACTGGAATGGAGCCTTGAGTTTTGCTGCCTCTGGACAAGAACCCAAGTTTGCTTTCAATTTTGCCATCCCGGATGAAGAGCATCCTCTGGTTCAGTTAGCTCCAGCAAGCCAACATATAGAGCACACTGCAGACCATGAAGTGCTGGGAAATTCACTGCCTACTGAATCAGCAGGTATGCCACAGATTTCAGCCTTGCAGAAGCCTGAGTTGTCTCAAACTTCAGGTGGTGAACCCAAAGAGGATATAAGCCATGTCATGTTAAAGATCCCCCAACCAGAGACTGCTCCTGGAGATGAGACAGTGACAGAGAAATCAAGAGCAGATGGGGCTGCACAGAAGAAGAAAAAGAAGAAGAAACAAAAAACATCTGTCAGTAAAAAGGAGATAGAAGAAACTGAGATCAACAGGAAAGCAAAGGCAGAAGATAACAGATGTCAAAATAAAGATACTTCCCACCAGGATGAGACCTCTCAGGTATTTAAACATTGATGGGATCTCATAATTTTAAACCCTTGAGCAAAAGAGAAACTATCTCATTGCATAGTTTAACAGTTAGTATACTGGCTTGAGATGAAACAGGAAAGACAAAGATTACTGCCTTCTTCTTATAGCAGCTGTTTCTTTCTCTGCTAGACAATCGAGGAACCTAACTAGTGGAAAGGAAATTAATGGTCCTTCATTGTCTTCTTCAGACTTGTGCTGAAACATTTTGTGTTTAGACTTGTGACAGCTAATCCTGGGAAGCTGGGTGCCACATTTTCTAAAACAAAAAATAGAGGTAACTGTCCTCAGTCGGTGCCAAGCTGGTATACGCGTGTGCTGAACCAGGCACTGTACCCCTGGTTTGCGTGTTACTGGGGAGGATGAATTGCTCACATGATGCAGATCCCAAAGCTGAAGGGCAGAGCTGCTATCTGTGGTAGCCAAGGCAGCGGCAGGGTCTGGTGCAAAGCTGAAGAGTGATTCTGAGAAGGCATGGCCCAGAAATCGAGTGAAGTTGCAAATTATGTGTAAAAACACCATTAAGGCACACCTTGAGGATTCCTAATGTTCTCTTTAAGGTCCAGGTCTTCATTTCATTTTTCCTTTCAGCACTGGTGTAATTATTAACAAACAATGCCAGCTGAGCAATACTGAAATACAAAATTAGAAAAAACTTGCTTTTGTTTATGTTGTACGTGGAAGTCACACTGAGTGTTCACCTGCCTCTTGAAGCATTCCATCCAAAGTGCTGCTTCACCAGCAACCTTACCAATAAGTACTGATGAATACCAGAAAGGTAGATAGATTTGAAGGTGATGTAAAGCCCTTCCAGTCTGTTGGAAGGAGACTGTTAGAAGGAAAAGGAGGAGACAGCCTGAGGGCTTTTGTGTTTACATATTAAGAATTGTTTCAGCCCCAGGGTGCAGCCATGCTTCCCCGTTCCTTCCACTGCTCAGTTAGCCAGCTGGCTCTGTTTGATGGGACTTGGCTTCTTCCATCTTTATGAGCTTCACCTTCCTTCTCCTCATGCACTTCTGGTTGTGCAAGCACACAGGAGCTGAGACACCAAGACTCGGCTTCTAATTTTGTCCATTGTTTGCTTTTTGATCTTGGACAGGTTTGGGGGTAGGGGTTTTTTGCTGTTAATGGTTATTCCTCCCATCTGTAACTTAATTTGACAGCCTCTTTCAGAGGAAAGGCCCTGGACAGCTTCTCAGAAAACGGCATAATCTGAATGGCAGCCAAATATTAAATCCATCAAATAGAGGCAGTGAGTTGCAACTAAATATTTGTCCAGTGCTTTAAGTTTATCCAATGAAAAACACTATAGACTGAAGTCTATAGAGTGATCACCAGAACATGAAGTTTGGAATAGTCCAGACTTTGTACATGTATCTTTTTTCCTGTGTAGCAACTGCTGCTCTAGTTTTTCAATGACTTGTTTCCTCATGCTCACTCTGGTCCATGTTGCATAGCAGCCAGATGACCAGCTGTGGAAAGAGGTGGACTGGTGTGTGGAACAGCTGGAGCTGGGCCTGAAGACACAGAAATCCACTCCAAAGCAGGGTAAGCATTCAATTAAATGAGAGATCTCCCCTGTGGGAAGGGTTGGCAGGCATGCAGGAGCAGAGCCAGTGGGGTGTCTTAAATTTTGTGTTGTTTCTCCTTCATGCTGCTCCAGCTGAGGAGGCTCTTCGTGCAATCAAAACACTGCGCAGTGACAAGGCTCCCCTGGTGAAGAAGCGTCAGCTTATGAGAACCATGTTTGGAGACTACAGGAAGAAGATGGAGGAGGAGTGGTGCAAAGAGCTGAAGCTCATGGAAGCAGGTAGGAGAACTTTGCATGGTGGGGGAAGAGAAGAAGAAAAGGCTTTGCTCCTGCCCTCCAGATTGCTTTGCAGAGTGCCACCTCACTATATGAGATGACTGAACATCTCTTACTGCTCTTTTCTCCCCTCTTCAAGCTGCAAAATCTGCTAGGATCGTGGAATTGAAGAGAAACATCCGCAACAAGAACTGCCAGTTCATCCGGAAGCGCTCAGGAGCTTGCAGGCAAAGCCAGGGTTCAGCAGCATCCCCTTCAGAGACACACGGGACACTTAACACAGGCTTATTCAAATGCACAACGTCCCAAGAATTTTTCTTTAATTTCTTCTAGGAAAGTCTTTTAGACTAAAACTGTGGCTAAAAACTGTGCCAAATCTCCCATAAACTTAGGAATGGTGCAAAGATGCTGTGCAGTAGACAATGTTACACAAGAATCTCCTAAAGAAAGGATCGTCTTTCAGAGTGCCTTATGTAGAGGTTTAAAACATATCTGCTTACTACATGTATGAGCCCAGGACTCAGTCTATATAGTACTTCAGTCTACATAGTACTCCTGTGTCCTCACACAGTAGAAAGGCTCCTTTGCAAAAGATCAGCACAGAGTCTATAGAAGGAAAACCAGATCCTTCCAGAACTGGCATTAACCTAAGAATCTGTCTTATACTGGGAGATTTTCCCATTCTCTTTTTGCTTTTAAATAGAGCAGACCTTTTGTAGCAGATGAGGCAGCAATGCACACAAAAGGGAATGGTTTGCAGTGAAGATCTATCTTATGTGAAGATGCAGCAGTGTAAGCATAATGGATAACTGAATGCTTCCACACCATATGAGCCTGTGTGGATGCATATTCTGGTATTCAGAAAGCACTGGAGTGTGCGTCATCACTGCCATCTAGAAAGTATGAGTTCAGGATCTTGGAGGAAAACAAATGAGAACGGTCCTTGTGCATTCATCTCTTCAATTGACAGGTATGAACTTAGAAGAGGACTGCATATGCTGATTTAATCTAGCCTATGGATGTAAGGACAGTTTCCAGACAGGGAAAGATTCTTGTTGCTGAAGCCAAGTTCTGGCCAGCTAGGAAGGATGTACAATCAGTTCTTGAAAAAAGAAGTTTACTTTATAAGCAGTCCAGTTACAACCAGCAGTGGCTTAGGGAGTAAGTCAGCTGCATGCCAAACCCTGGGTGGCAGTGAATGAACTCTGAGAGCCCAGAGACTCTCTTGCATTTGATTTGTATTGAATGTTTGCTTTCTGAACACTGAATGTGTCTCCAGTGTTCAATACTGCTTCAGCTACTGAACCCATCTCCTGTGTTCATGCAGAAAATCTTCCCCACTAAGCCTAAAAATGCTGAAGGAACAGAAGTCCTTTAAAAGGAAACATGGTATCAGGTGTCCGTAGGGTGCAGTGCTTTCCTTCCTTTTTATAGTCATCCTGTATGAGAAGTGAGAAATGGGAGTGTAGGCAGATTCCAGTGTATACTGAGAGCAGCTGAAGAGATGGTGGAAAACATTTGATGGGAAATAACTTCAAAAAAACCTGGTGTTGGCTACAAAAAAATTTATTTTATTACTAACCTCTGCTGCATCTGAAAGGATATTTATTTTTAAATATTTTAATGCCTGTCTAGGCATAAGGAGAAACTAAACATGGGTAACAAATCTGATGAGGAGAAATATGCAGAGAAGACTGTAAGTCCTGGAAATCAGCAGATTAAAACTAAAAATCAGTAGGTTAGCAGATTGTTATTTTACTTGCCAAGGAGCACTCTTTTACTGTATTGAACAATGCTATACAGTATTTCTTGGATTTCCATAGTTTTATATGAAACATACAAAAGCTGTGTCATTATCAAACTTCCAGTGTTTTCATTCCATTTACTAAGATTAAAGAGCATCTTGTACATGACATTGGAACTGCAGCTGTTTTCTTTCCTAGCTGGTTATGCAGAGTGTGTCTGGGAAATAGTTATTTTTTTAACTTGCCTTGTTTCAGGTAAAGCTAGAGCTGCTAAAGCATTATAAAATTCTGTGTGGAGGGAGGCTGCAGGAGTATTCTGGGAAGCATTCTTACAAGCCTCGTGCTTATACTACTTGTTAGGCATTCACAATTAGAATAAAAATACCAGTGAGGTGGACATTAGCTGTAACCTAATCCAGACAGTTTGAGGTCAGAGAAAAATACATTCTAATACCGTGAATGGCTCCTGTGGTTTTCCAGAGGTCTTCACGTAATGCTGACCTGCAAAGCCAGCACAAAGCCAGACCACAGTGCTTCATTATTGGAGGTCTCAGAAGGCAAATGTTCATCAATGCCCTGAGTGTCATGTTTGACCCGTGGAGTTGAATGTAGGACCAGAGTTGTCTGGGTCAGTTCCACGAGCTGGCTGTGTGATCTTGCACAAGACATTTTATCTTTCTGTGTCCAATCTGTGTTTTCATAGTCAAGGTGACGCCTCCTGCATTTCTGATAGATGCGCTCAAGTTATTTCATTAATGATTGGGTCTTGAAGATGCAACTCTACTATGTTGCATCTGAAATTACAGCAGTCTTTACTTCACTCTTAAGCTTTCCAACATTTGAAGCATCTCTGCTGTGTTATGATTTGTTCAAAAGGAAACAAGCAACATTATTACAAGTTAGGAAATGTCGCTGCTCCATCAGTTTGTTGCCCTTTATAGAAGCCACATTACAGCCTTAATGACATTTTTTTCAAAAATTGTTTTCCCCTTTTAGCATTTCCTTTAGGTTTTCAATGCTGTTTGGGGTTTCAGTTATGTCTGTTACAGCAGTGACGAGTTTGGGTCAGGGCTTTGCTCTACTAGTTATTGTAATACGTGTGGCTGGAGGTATGGTCCATGCCTGAAGGCATCAATGATGTACAGCAGCGAGGAAGAAAGGATATGTTCTTATCTGCTTGGAGTTCTCTGTCCCAGTATTCTTGCATTAAGGAAATGTAGCTTGGTTTGTAGAAAATTGAGCTCAGTTCTGACCTGCCTTTTTCTTTCTGCATCTTCTCAGCTTCATGCTGTGCATTTGAGATGAGTGCAAACGGGGTGGCTGGATTTGCAGTATCTCTTCAGTGACTGACCACCTAAATGTAGTGCAGCACTGCCAGGCCCGGGCTTGCAGGCAGCAAACTGCTTACAAGATCTTCCAGCATGGTTGTGACCTCAGGAGTGAGTTAAAGACAAGGCAAAAAGGGAGTGTGAAGCACAACAGTGCCTCTAGAGCAGAACTTGCTTAATAGCATTGGTTTTGAAAAAGTAAGAGCTGAGGCTCAACTTCTAAGGTGAGTAATAGGATGAAGGAATGCTGTAACTTGTCTCAGACCATAGCAAAACAGATCTCACTTTTGGGAATGAAGTGAAGAATTTCAGAGTTGCTTCTGTGGCAGGGTGATCCCAAGAATATTTCCACACAGAGGCAGCTGAAATCTGGGTGTGATCTCTGCTCCTTTTAGGCTTGGCACCCTCATCTGTAAAAAGATCCCCTGAGCAAAGGTTAGGAAATGCAATCCCATTCCAAACAGACCCTGCCTCCGGAGAGAGGCGATGGCCAGCCTCCCCCCTCGCAGACTGGCCCTGTCCTGGTGGCTGCTTGTCCCTGCTTGCATTTTGGTTGTTAACCTGGATGCTGGGCACTAATTGGTAAGTTCTTCCAAGCCCTTCCCTTGGGCTTGGTCAGTGGAAACGCATTTATTGGTCCCTGGGCTGCCCATCTTCTGCTCTGAGTAATCAGCGGGCAGAGTCACTGAGGAACAGCCTACAAAGGATCTCCAAGGGATCCCCACAAAGTTCAGCTGAAATTATCTCCTGAGTTCTGGCAGCCACTTCTACAAGGACTCTCTTTCCCAAGACCAGCAAAGACAGAAGGAAGCCAACAATTTGCTCCTGCTGAATCTTTAACTCGGGTGACTAACATTGTCTTCTGCCATTTTTTTTTAAGAGTGCTGAAGGTAGGCTGCGGACTCAGCATCTAATGACCCCTGCAGGATAAAATATTTTATTACTTTCCTTTGGGAAAGAAAATCTCAGTCCTAACTTATATTTTCTTTGAATTAGAAAGAAGAAAAGCTTACCACTTCAAGCAAGACGATTCAAACTCTGTTAGAGAAGGAAAGTTATTTGAAGAGCCATAAGCATTGAACCTGCAGTTCCTTAACAGATAAAGAGAAGAGACACGGCTATTTTAAGATCATATGGAGCTGTGACAGATGATCTTGTATCTTTCTGCTGAAGTTATTTTACTCTAAGGACAAAGTTGTTTTATTTTCTTTGCTTAATTTTTTTTGCTGCTCACTGTGCTGCTTTCATATTTAGAACTGCAGGAAGGTTTGTGAGCCACACTGGTTTAGAAAATCTAATTTTTACATCAGCTACCACAGTGCTTTGATTACTGGTAACAGTCCTTCCTGTGGATGCTGACAGCTGAGAAGCCTTGACCACCTACTTTACTTGGTCCACCTGTCTTCTTCCCTTTGAATACATCAACAGGCACTACCAGGTCCTTGGTATCTCACCACCAAGATGGAAGAAGTCTGGGTTGTGTATCTCTGCCTGTTCTTGCTTATCATAGTGCTTTTTCTAATGAAGCATAACCCGCATGTGGAAGAGGCTAAGAAAGACAGGGAAAGCAAAATGCCCCCACCGTCCTCTTCCTTTTTCCCCAGTAATGTTGGCAAGCAACTGGAGCATACCCAGGAAGAGCTGGAGCACTATCTGGAGAGGCTAACCCATGTCTTGTTTGACACAGAAGCCAGGAAAAAAGATGGCCACCATGATCAGAAGTCCCACCATCACCATCACAGAAGTGCTGATGTTATGTCTGAAAATAAGAAGCATTCAGGAAAGGACGCAGCACACTCTCAGTATCAGTCAAGAAACACAAGGGTTCAGGTATGAGGCTTATAAAGACTTTCAACCAGACTAAGAGCTCCTGGCTGAGGTAGTGAATCCTGTTGAAATGCATAGTTCATGAACTTGAAGGGGGAAGAGGTGGGGGTGAGGTCTCACTATTCTGAACTATAATCCATTCCTATTTTTGCACTGTATATTTCAACATTAAGTAGTCATTCAGAGGCAGCTTTATGTGACAGGAGTTGTATGTATGTTACATGTGTAAGATGTCAATGTGCATGTGTGTGTATCTATGTAAATTATTCCTGCCTATATTAATAGAAACAGGTATCATTTCTTACTTCAAGAAATTATTGTGCAACTCTTCAGCTGTTATAAATCTCCCACTTTCCCCACATACAGCAGGGTTTTGCCAGTTTGCCCCGCTAAGGATCTGGCCCGGAAGGGTACAGGAGCTTGGCAGACACCTATCTAGTGGTGAATGCATGGTATCAAGCCATGGAAAATACTTATGTAATTTCTCTGCTGTGCATGATGATCACGCATAATGTACTCTGTAAACATGAAAGTCGCTATTGGCAACCTGCAAAATTTTCTTTGCCTTGGCCAAGGCCCTTTTTTAGGTGATGAAACAAGATGCATGCCTTTATATTTTTATCATTATCCTCATTGCAATACATCAGATTTTGCCCTTGAGATGACAGAGTTTCATGGCAGCTATGCAAGGCTGTGTTACTTTATGCTAGCAGCTGTTTATATTCTTCATTCTTGAGACATGTATCGTGCAGTGCCAATGCCCCACTCTGCCTCTGAGCATGTTCTAGATCCAGGTGGGAGCTCCAGTATGAAGCCTTCACCTTAGAGGGGAGAGCCAGGCCTTGATGTCAGTAACTGCATCCTGCCAAAGAATCAAGAGACAGATTTCTTAGCAATGAAGGCACTGCTGTAAACAGCCATTTCAGTGAGCCAGGACATTATAACTTCTTAAGTCTTCAGGAGCTGCTTGAGCTATTTGGGGGAATCAGTATGTCCCGTTGAAGGCAGAGGGACTAATATACAAAATGTTGGAATGTTGTGCAGAGTACATGGGCAGAAAGAGTAACTCAAGTCGTTATTTACTTACCGGCATGTTTCATTTACTGAAGAAGATGCTAGTTTATTAGATCTGTTACAGATCAAAAACCAGCTATGACTTTTCATTATGGAAATGGATCATGTTGCAAAATAACAGTGTTAGCTTATTTTTCCACTATGGTTAAAGATAACTGCAGAATGCTAATTGGGGAGAAAAGGTGCTGTTGTCACTATTTTCATACAGTTTAATATAACACTAATTAGCTACAGGGAACATTCACTTGCTTAGAAAAAGGGAGTACACTTCTTTTACAGACTTGATGCAGCAGATGATCCTCCTTTGGACAGTTGAAATCTTTATATGAGTTCATTTGACATATGAAATAAACAGTAATCATGCAGAAGCAAAGTAGCAACATAATCCTTTGTTTTACCTCATTTTGTGTTTTGGGAACAGTGAGAAAGAAGTCATCACCTAAACAAAAATAAAAAAGCACGTCAATAAGTTGTCCAGACAGTGAAGTGAAACAGGAAACCAACTTTTCATGGAATAGTATTAGTGCTAAAACTGCTGGGAGGAGTGGTGTTTGTTTATTGCTCAGGCAAAGGCTAAATGTTGGGATAGTTTCAGGAGCTGTATTTGAGTATGGTTACATGGGTGTATGGCATGACGGAGATGCAGCCAGCTCATAACATGATATAGGTGTTGTCCACAAATACGGGAATGTGTGGGTATGTACAAAGGCTTTCGGGTCTCTCTCAGGTCAAGGAAGGACAGCGATGCTTGTTCATGTTCAGGGAGGGGGTAACGTTCTCTCCCTTCTTCTGAGAATTTGTCTCTCTTTCAGAATGGATGTAGGTTGTTTGGATGTTGCAAGTTAAGATCTCTGGAAAATTAAATCCTTAACATTGTCTAGCAGAGGTAGGATGGCTTGCACAAAAGCTTCTTCAGTAAGTGTGCCAGTCTTCTCAACCAGCCACATCCATCATCTCTG